TTATTACAGGCTTACCCCAATTCAGAGTAAAGGGCCACACAATAAGAATACTTTCATTAAAAGTACTATCAACATCATATTGTAAACAAAGCATGTGAAAAGTGATAGATTGTGTTGACCAGTTTCTTCCTTCCAAAGAAGCCCCTTTGCCCAGGAACCCAGGCCCTGCTAGGTTCCAATAGTCACATTCTCCTTATCTGAGATTCTCCTTGCTACGAAGTGCATGGTACTGGGAAGACTCCATCCAAATCTGACTTTCTTTGGAATGACTGGTCTCAACTAGAGGTTCAAGAACTTAATAAAAAGCTACTTACAATTAAGGGTGGTAATAAGCTGGGTAACTTCAACAAAGGCAGGCAGCTTAACAGAGAGAACCGAGAAAGAGACAAGGAAATTCCAGCTAAAATCACTGTCATCCAAAGAAAACCTTTATACCCAGGGCTGTACTCTTGGAGGAACAGCTTCAGAGATTTAATACTACAGGGAAAATAGATTTTACCAAAATATCCCAGAATGTAGTCAAATAAGTAAGGAAAAAAACAAGCCTCAGAGAAGGTATGGTAGTTAAGGAGGGAATGAGTGTTCAGAGTTGCTACAATATATTATCTAAAATGCCCAGTTTTCAACAATTGTGAAACATAAAAATAAACAGGAAAGCAGACAATAGACATTACCTGAGAAGTTTAACAGACAAAGACTTCAAAACAGCTATTATAAATGTACTCAAATAATTAAAGAAAAAATGTGTAAAGAAGTGAAGTGTAATGAAAATGTCACATCAAATAGAGAATATTAATAAAGAGAAAAATTACACTAAAAATCACCAAACAGAAATTTTGGAGATGAAAAGTACAATTATGGAAATTAGAAATTCACTAGAGGAGATGAACAGTAGACTTCAACTGAGAGAGTAAAGAAGCCATGAACTGGAAAATGGGTAAAGTTTATACAGTCTGAAGAACAAAAAGAAAAATAAATAAAGGGAAATGTGAGATACTATCAAGCACCTGAGTATACATAAAATGAAGCACCAGAAGGAGAGAGAAAGGAAAAAAATATTCAAAGCAATAATGGCTATAATCCTCCTGCATTTGAATAAATACATTCATTGACAAATATAAGAAGCTCAACTAATTTCAAGTAGTATAATGAAAAATTCAGTCCCAGACACCTCATAGTAAAAACTTGAAAATTTTCAAAGAACTGTAAGACCATGGTTGAGTAAATTGTGATCTTGTATAGAAAACTATGCAAACTTTTAAATGGTATGTAGATATATGTTTATTGAAGCAGAGCAAGATTCCATTTGCTAAATAAAAAAAAGCAGGTTATAAAATTACATATTGTATTTTTTGGTAATACCAATTAAATATATGGAGCAATTAGAAGAGTATTAATCATAGAGTGAGCACTCCATAAAGGGTAGCTCTTACTGATTTTATTGCTACTTTTGTGTTTATTTTCATCATCATTGATATCAATTTAACAAGGATTTATTATGTTATAATCTTAAATTTCATCAGGTCAAACTTGTAGATAATACAGAGTTTATGTCAATCATTTCATGCCAGTCATAGAAAAAAATATATAATTGCTCAAATCTACTGTAAGTGACCATATGTTTTCCTACCCTGGCTTTTGTTGGTTGAAAATAATTATATCAGCATTTATTCCCTAGTAAGGTATTCCCCATCTGACAGCTTGCTTATGAACTTACACAAGAACTGCTCAGGTCATGGGCAGTTAAGAGGAATGGCCTCTCTTGTTGTAGAGTTTCCCTCACCAACAGAGGCCTGAAGAGGCTGTTGAATGTCAGATACTAGCAGGCCTGATTTTAGTTATAGGAGTTACCAACTTGGCCTGTATTTATCTTTCTCCTATATCCTTCACCAGAAAATAGGCTATTACCCTCCCTAACCCTTCTCCTGTTCACCCAGGAAACATTCCCTAATGAGGACACTTTCTTGTTCCTGATGGACCAGGAAGGTGCTGGTTCCTTTCTGTTTTCTTTCACCTGTAACTAAACCTTGCTGATACTTCTGTCCAAAGCCTGATTCCAATACTGGGCATGAACTATATTCCTCTAATGTCCCTTACCCAGCTGACCTCCATGCTGGATCTCTGAGCAAAAATCTGAGCCTCAGCAACATCCAAAAGCCTCAGAGTTCACTCTAACGTCCCCAAAATGCCCAACATTATTTCCTCCACTTAAATCACTCCAAGAATTATAGGGCCACAGATCAAAGAGCCATCTGATTAACTTCTCATAACATGATAAATATGACAGTGAAGTATTCTATTACCTTATTCCAATACTATTGTCCTTTGTTTCTCCTACAAAAATTATGTATTCAAACTATTCATAGTTTAAATCAATTTAAAGACCTGGCCTAGGAACCAACACATGCATGTTTATATTTCTCCTGTAGAGAAAAAATTATTTACCAATTGCTATTACAAATCAGCTGTGTTCAAAGCATTGACCTTAGTGAACCTAATTATCCTCTTTCCAAATAACTGTTTATTAACTATTGGACTAACCTACTTTTAAGAGAATGACTTACTGTATTTAAATACTATAAATAATTAAATCCAGAAAGGTTTAACAGAGTGTGGAAGGAAGATGAAGTTACATATGGGTAAGCTACATATGGGTAAGCATTAACAAAAGAAAATATTATTAATATCAAACCAATTCTTCTTTAAGCATTATAAACATAATACATATAGCTATTAGTTGCTAAAGCAAAATACCTGTCAATTATTTATAAGAGTTTCCAATTCTAAGAAAGTATTTTACAATAAACAGATGCTACATGCTAAAATACAGAGACAGGGTGTCATCCTCAATCTAATTTTTCTAAGAGTGTCTCCCCAAGATTACTAATTACATATATATATATATATATATATATATATATATATATATATATATATATATATCTGCCACTACACTTAACAAATATTTCTCTGTCATTTTTCCCACTTAGGTTTGGCAGTAGAAATTTCATTACCAGATAAGCCCATTTTAATTTAGACACAACAAAGGTAATCACTAAATTCATAATAAGATGGTTTGGTGGGGGGGTCAGGATGATGATGAATCGTCAGCTTACACTTGCTAAATAGTTAATCATCCCTGCAAGGGCAGTGGACCTAAAGCTTGGACAGATAAATTAAAATCTCTCTGAAATTTTATATTTGGAAGGTTTTGGCTTTTCCTGAGTCAGATATTTTTGTAAACATAAAACATAAAGCAACACCATTTTGTATTCCTATAATTCTTCATACAGTGGTAAGAGCAATTTGTGAAAAAAAAAAAGTAGCACTAACACAACTGAGACAAATTCTGTGCTTTATTCCTCCTTGTGGGTCCTCTTGCCCCATTCTCTAGGAGATAGCTATCAGACTTGACAAGAAAATGCAGACACCTCATCAAAAGGAACCAGGTTAACTGCTATATGTAATTTCCAAAACTTAAATGATGGGTTTCCTAAATTAATTCACTCTTAATCAAATGACATTATGTAATATCTTCAGATATCAACCTTAAATTATGAAGACATAAATTTGAATCTGTTTTAAACATCCACAATTGTTAAAATTGTAAAGAGAATATAGATATGTAACTGAATTCAATCTGAAGCCTAACATTGATGTCCTGTAACTGAAGAAAGTGACATCAAGATGAACAAGATTTCTCATGATGAACAGGAATCCCATTGGTTTTGCTTTTATACTCCAAGGGCTATTGCACAATTTGGGGCAAATAGTAGATGCTGAAAAAGCAAAATTTAAAGAAACTTATTCCTCTGAGCATTGTATTTTGTTTTTGTTTGATTTGGGTTTTTGATTTGGGTTTTGTTTTTCACGTTTAGTGGGGACATGGCAGGAGACCGTGGTTAGGGGGATGGATAAGGGAAAATGATAAGTGAACTGAAAGAGACCTATAGGGCAGAAGCAAGCTAACAAGGAAAAAACTCCAGTGAAGCCACTAGAAACAAATAACCACAAGAATGAAACAAAGGGAAGAGATTTATGGGGAATTTCTACAGCCAGACATAATTTTGACAGTGTTCTCTCCCACTAGGGAGGCACCACAAGAACAGAAGTAATGAGCCTTATGAAAATTCCAAGCTATATTCCCTGTTGTGGTTCACTTTTCCTTAACCAGAGAAAAGATAATTTTCTCCTTTATCTTCTTTAAAAACTGAAGTGGGTACATATTTCACATTGCTCATCTTTGAAACCTCAGAACTACTTACATTAATTTGCATACAATAATTATTTACTTAATTAACAAGTTCTCAGCTTGATTATCCCTTCAACCCTTAACAAGCTGAAAATTATATGATTCCTCTTCAAAGGAAAGACATACTCCCTAAATAGGATCTATTGCTTATAATAGGACTTACTGAACACAATTTCCACATGGCTTTTGCAGTGAGATTAAAACTGGTTCCATGACAAAGAAGGAGAAATATATTTAATACTAAGAGCTCAGAAAAAGAGAAATCTCAGGTGTATCTATCATTGAAAACCCAGAAATTTTGAAATTTAGGTTATCTATAAAGCCAATATCTTTAGTAAAATTCTTAAAAGTAACAAGAAGAAAAAAATACTGAGAAGTAATATATCCCTCACAGAGCTTTAAAAAACACCAGTATTTAGAGTTACAAATGCTTTATTTAATAAGTTAGCAGAACATATSAAAATTTAATGCTCCTGGTACATTAAGAACTTTCCCCTGTGGTTTAGGAACTAAAAATCCAAACCAACCAATTAATCTATGAATAAAGAGAATTTTTGAAATCAATTTAATGAAAAATAGCAAGTTCCAAATCCAAAAGACCTTCTTTTACTCTGGCCACAAAATCACTCAAATGTCAAAAGGATAAAGTGAGTGGATGTAGTAAGTAAGTGAGCTTAAAAACAAAATGAATTGTTCTCTCTAGGCAACAGATGAAGAAGCAATCTGGGCCAGCCCACTGCCCACTCACCAGATGTCTGACTTTGTGTCATAGCCTTGGTGTTTCAGAGCCTCAGGACTCATATAATGCGGAGTTCCAGTTAAAGTTGTGGCCAGGTCACAGGATCCCATTAGGAGTCGAGAAACTCCAAAATCCCCTAGAAATAATAATTAATCTTTATGAATACTTTAAAACAAAAAAAATCAGCACTGGAAATTAAACACTAGATGTGTGTCTAATTTGATCATTTTATTATGCAATGCTTCTACTATTTTAAAGGGGAAGAAAGTGATACTTTAAATTCTACAAAGCTGGTAAATAGTTATAAAAACACAAGTTTCATAGGAAAAAAAGACTGAGCCAGTACAGTGAATTATATAACCTAAAATTATTTATTTCTGGAATTATTAACAATGAGACAGACAATTTGATATAAAATGTTTCTTCAAGTCTGAAATGATTCTGGAAGAGTTGAATATGATGATGGACAATTTTATCTGAGGAAGGGGAAGGTTTGTTCTTTAATTTACAATAAAGGGAAAATGTAAAAGACTTGAAACTACTCATGAGCATAACTATAAAAATTTGAATACACTGGCTTGACTATTTTTGCCTCCTTAGATGAATGCTTTTATTCCTTCACTCCCTAAGAACATCTTACGTGATGATTAGATAATCTAGTAACTGTGAAGTGAGGGAACAGTTCTGAAGAAATAAACACTATAAAGCCACTATATCAACATTTTAATTATCCATGATAACTTCTTATTGCTTATGATAAAGTCAGTGGGAAACCTAGATAATTAATCAAACCAGTAAAACAAGTCTAACCACCTACCAAGAAAGTGAACTCAAAGTATATCTGAGCAGGACTACAACGTATATTTGTCAAATCAATCAAGCACATAGTAAATGTTCTATACCCCAATTTATATTGGATAATCAGAAACAAAACAATTGGGTTTAGTTGGACCCATCCGAGCAAAAAAAAATTGAGAAGTTTAAAGAAACCAATGATAACTCTAATGGTTCCATGTACCATATACTTCAGCTTGATAAAATAACATCTAGAAAAATATGTAATGTTTTTGAATTACATATTTTTTAAAACTTACCAATTTTCAGTAGATTATTTTTCAAAAATATATTCTTTGATTTCAGATCTCGATGAAGTATCCTCCTACAAAAGGCAAAAAAAAGGATATATGACTTCATGTAAAATATAACATTTTGAAATTCAAATATTGTATATGGTTATATTTGAAGTGTTCACAAGTGTGTGTGTATTTTATATATATATATATATTCATATATATTCCCACTGATATATTTTATTTTTTATTTTTTTGATAGCAGGAATTGAATCCTGGGTTGCTTAACCACTGAGCAACATCCCCCCAACCCCTTTTTCATTTATGTTTTTTTTTTTTTAATTTTGAGATAGGATCTTGCTAAGTTGCTTAGAACCTCACTAAGTTGTTGAGGCTGGCTTTGAATATGTATCTTTAAATTTTTTAAGCTGCTAAGCCATAAACAGTTTCATGGAAATGTTTATTTAAATAAAGGTTTTAGAGGGGAACATGTAGTTGGGAAAAGTTGGGAAATTAACGATTTTAACAGGGCAGATCGTATTATGTTTCTGTAGCATGATTTATAAAGATTCACAATATAGGACTATGTATCCCTTATAATCAAGTTGGAGATAATTTAAAAGGCACATAAATGATGGTAAGAGATGACTAGAAGGGGAAACTAGTCATTGTACCTTGATTAAATATTATTTATAATTATAGTTATAAATACAGACATTAACTTAGTATAAGGAAACCTCTTTCCCAACAAATGATTACTCTAAAGTACATGCCCACAAAATTAATAAAATTATTATTAGTTGAAAACCAGAAATATTGGTTATAAAAATAAATAGTTTCACTATTACAATTAATGGTATTACTGTTGTAGTAATACATTTGTATAGTGGTTAGACCTCAACCTTCCAGAATAAGTTAAAATTCATACTAAAGAACAGATCCAAAGAAAGGCTAAATTTAAATAGTTCACTTCATAGGAGACAAAAATGGCACAAAATCAACCAGGCCTAAGGAATCAGAATTATGTATAATTTACTGAAGGTTATATAGCCTGTGAAAACAAAGTAGATCTGTCCAATCCCACAAACAATTCTCACCTAGATCTATTCAACTATAGAAACTACATTTAACCACTATTCTCTCCTGTCTTTATACCTAGACCTGGGTTACACATGAATATATCATTAACTTTTTAATGATTTAAAACCAGAAAAAATATATATAGCAAAAGAAGGATAAATAAAACTTGGCTTATGCTTGGCTTATGCTATTAGATACCTACCCCATAACTATTCTCCTCTTCCTCTCCCTTGACACCATATCCCCTGAGCCACTAAGAAGGCTCAGCCCTGTTAGCAAAAGGCAGTGTGTGTGTGTGTGTGTGTGTGTGTGTGTGTCGGTGGGCGAATGTATTGGGAAATGAAGAAGCACAATGTGGTAATTCCTTTTACCCCTTTCCCTTGGGGGTCAGTGATATGACAAAATTCTGGTCAATGTAAAGGCTTACTTTTCAAGAATGTAAAATAATAAATATTATGAAAATAATAAGTGAACATATGTCAAATATTTTATTTAATTTATTAATTGAGTAAAGAACCAGTTAAGGTAAAAAACTGAGTTAGAGTTGTTGAGAAGCTACAGTATTACTAATAGGAGGACATGAATGCTGACTACACTACAAAACTGGTTAGTGACCAACAAAGCATAAACCATAATCACCAGGATTATCTCTTCTACTGGATATTATTTGCATCTCTAATGCATAAAGATATTCAAGTTTATTTCTTCTATAGTTATATAAAAGACCCAACAATAGAAAAAATTTAAATTTTTTATGAGAGCTTTATACATCGTAGTAGGGTTTATCCCATAAACTCAAACATGCATGGAATTTGATTTCAGTTCATGATTCCCCACTTTCCCTCCAACCCTCCTCTCTGCCATTCTCTTTCCTCCACTCTGCTACTATTATTATTAGTGTGCTAGACTAATACTCTGCTCATCTGTTTATTTATATTTGATTGGTTCCTTTTACTTGTACATATGTATGTATATTCCTACATACACGATTTTTTTAAAGAATTCATTCCATTTTACCTTCTCTTTCCCACCTCTCCACTATGCCTCTCCATTTCCTTCTACACTACTGATCTTCCCGTCATCTTCATGATATCCTATATTTCTTTCCCCCTTTCCATTATTTTACTCTAGCATCCATATATGAGAGAAAAAAATAAAGCTTTGAGTTTCTGAGTTTGGCTTACTTCATTTAGATATATATATATATATATATATATATATATATATATATATATATATCACATATATATATCACACACACATATATATATATCACATATATATATAAATGATATCATATAAATCATATATATATTACTCAATCCATTTATCTGATGATAGGCACACCTGGATTGATTCTATAACTTAGATATCGTGAGTTATACTGCTATAAATGTGAGGTAGCTGTATAGCTCTGTATAGCTACAGTATGTTGATGTTAGAGCTTCTGAGAAGATACCAAGTAGTGGGATATCTTGGTCACATGGTATTTCCATCCCTAGTTTTTTGGGGAATCTCCATACATACTAGTCTGCAGTCCCACCAACAATGTACCATTGTATCTCTTTCCCCACAACCTTTCCAGCATTTATTATTGTTTGCATTCTTTTTTTCTCACATCTTCATACATGTATTTTGTATAATGATGAGGATCTCCTTCCATCATCCATGCTATTCCCCTTCTCCCTCCCTTTCCCTCCCACCCCTATTCCCTATCTAGAGGTAATCTTCCTTCCATGCTCTCCCTGTTTGTATTCTTGATCACTGTCATTCTAACTGTAGTTAGATGAAATCTTAGCAAACTTTTGATTTGCATTTCTGATTGCTATAGATAATAAAAATTCTCTATTTGTTGGCCATTTGTGTTTCTTCTTTTGAGAAGTTTCAGTTTAGTTCTTTTGCTCATTGGTTGATTGGGCTATTTGTTTTTTGTTTGGTTTGGGTTTTTTTTATATATTCTGGATTTTTTATATATTCTGGATACTAATTCCCTACTGAAGGAGTAGCTGGCCAAGACTTTCTTCCATTATGTAAGCTCTCTCTTTAGGCTCTTAATCATTTCCTTTGCTGTGCAGAAGCTTTTGAGTTTGATGGCATCCAAAGTATTGATTCTTGCCTTCATTTCTAGCACTTTTGGGGTCTTGTTAAGGAAATTGGTGCTAGCACCAATATGATGTAGTATTGACCCTGTTTTCTTCTAGCAGTTGCAAAGTTTCTGATCTAATTTCTGTCTTTCATATATTTCAGTTTGAGGTTTGTGCAGGGCGAGAGCTAGCAATCTAGTTTCATTTTTCAACATGTTAGCTCCAGTTTCCCCAGCACCATTTGTTAAAAAGGCAAATTTTTTCTCCAAAATATATTTTTGGCACCTGTATCAAATATCAGATGGCTGTAGGAATATGGATTTGTCTCTGTGTCTTCTATTCCACTCCATTGGTCTTCATGTCTATTTTGATGCCAATACAATGCTGCTTTTATTACTATGGCTCTGTAATATAATTTGAGATCAGTTATTGTGATGCCTCCTGCTTTATCTTTCTTGTTCTCAATTACTTTGGCATTTCTGGGTCTCTTGTTCTACCAAATTAACCTAAGAATTTTTTTAATTCTGTGAAGAATGTCTTTGATATTTTGATGGGTTTTGTATTGAATGTGTATATTGTTTTGATAGTGTGACCATTTTGACAATATTAATTCTGCCTATCTAAGAACATGGGATGTATTTCCATCTTCTAAGGTCTTCTTCAATTTCTTTATTCAGTGTTCTATAATTTTCATTGTAGACACTTCTACCTCCTTGATTACATTAATTCCAAAGTGTTTCTTTTTTTGGGGAGGTTATTGTGAATGGGATGATATCCCTGATTTCTTCCTTGGCTGAATCAGTCTACGAGTATAGGAAAGACATTGATTTATGGGTGTTGATTTTGTATACTGCCACTTTGCTGAACTCATTTATAAGGTCTAGAAATCTTCTGGTAGAGTTTTTTCTGGGTCTTTTCTTTTCCTATCTGATTCCCTTTGATTTCCCTCTCTTGCCTGATCACTCCAGCTAATGTTTTGAGGATTACGTTGAATAGGTGAGAGTGGACAGCCTTGTTTTGTTTCTGATTATAGAGAAAATGCTTTGCGTTTTTCTCCATTCAGTACAATGATGACTTTGGGTTTGTCACAAATGACCATTGTGACACTGAGGTAAGTTCCTTTCATCCACAGTTTCTCTCTTGCATCTTTAACATGAATGGGTATTGTATTTTATCAAAAGCACCCCTTTTTGCATTATTGAGATAATCAGGTGGTTCTTGTTCTTAATTTTGTTTCAGTGGTAAGTTACATTTATTGATTTGCTTATGCTGAACCAATCTTGCATCCCTGGAATGAAACCCACTTGATCCTGTTGCATTATCTCTTTGATGTGTTTTTGAATGTGACTTGGTAATATTTTATTAATGATTTTTACATCTTTGTTCATTAGGGATACTGGTATATAGTTTACTTTCCTCAATGAGTCTTTGTCTGATTTTGGTATTAGGGTTATACTGCCTTCAGAGAAGACTGGTAGAACTCAGCTGTGAAGCCATCTGGTCTTCAGCTTTTATTTTTTGGAAGGTTTTTAATTGCCATTTCAATTTTATTACTTGAAATTCATCTGTTTAGGTTTCCTATACCTTCCAAATATAATGTGGGCAAGTCATATATGTCTAGAAATTTGTGTCTTCTAGACTTTTAAATTTTTTGGAGTATAAATTTTCAAAAAGGTTCTTCTGATGATCCTCTATTTCAGAAGGGTCTATGGCAATACTTCCTTTTTACCTCTAATCTTATTGATTTGGGTCCTCTCTCTTTTGGTTATTTTGCTAAGAGTTTATCAATATTATTTATATTTTTGAAGAATGAGCTCTTTGTTGCATTGATCATGTCTATTTTTTTTAATTCTCAGTTTCATTAACTTTGGTGATGATCTTAATTATTTCCTGTTTTCTAATGGTAGTGAGGTTGGTTTGTTCTT